ATATATTACATCTCATTAAATCAAATTTAAAAAAATTTTTTTTTGTGTAATAAATTGAAAAAGATTTGTTAAATAAAAAAGAATATTTCACCATACCTTACAATACACATTTAAAATTAAATGTAACTATTCAACATTGAATTCAATCAATATATTAAGTAAATAACTTAGAGATAGAGCTGTTTAATATTTTGTTAAATTTTATGATCTAACAAAATATTGAATAAAGATAAAAGTACGAGCCTTTCCTATCTCTCTTTCTCGGATGAGTCTCTTAAAATACAATGAGATCATCGCATGTTCTTTCAATTTGAATACATTAAACGTGTTTTTGATAAAGAGCACGTAAACATTGAGATCGCGTTAACATAAAAGGGCTAAAGTCGAAGATGTATAATATTTGAATAGGCGCCATTACCTCAAATCGATAAAATTATGGATTTGCCTGGCTGCGATAACAGATATCGACTCGAATGTGATGTAAACGACTTGTGTATGTGCTATAAGCTATACAAATGAACGCATGTATGTATCGTATTTTAACATATATTTATTGCACACAAAACCCTGACAAATTTCTTCATGGTGTGATTCTCGGGAAAATCAAGATTCTTCAAGAAGCCTTTCTCGCAGAGAAATATCTTTAACCCGCATAAATAAAGCGTATTTTAATTTTGTATGTCATGTCTTCCCTTCCTGTGATTTTATTATTTTATTTATCTCTTATTTGTTAATTTTATCTTAAGCTGTTTTTTTCCAAAAATTTATCCAATATTCGTAGTCAAACTTTCAAGAAAGATCAAACATTCTCGTTATGAACATTTAAAAGAAGAAAAAGGAAAAGAATTCTGCCGCTCCGGAGAATTATGTTACATTCGGCAGAAAAAAGCATGACTAAGACACGTATAATTCGATGTCGCGTCACGTAATATAAATAAAATTACATATATATACGTGGTCATCTCTCTTTGTAGCAGTCTTACACTCGGCATAATTTGCCCTTTCCGATCTAATATTTATATTTTATTCAACGTTCATGCTCGTCAGCCGCTCATTCGCAAAATCACGAGCGAGCACAAAGTTGCTATCCCCAGTTACTGACGGCATTGGCAGCACGAATGCTTATAATATTTAATTCGGCACAGGCCATTCTTTACTACTAAAACGCAATTCGGATACTTGTCTACGCACTCGGACGACTCGTGCACCTCTGAAACATAATGTTAAAATATATATATTTATCAAGTACATCGGATCCTATAATTATTAAATGGCAATATCTCATAATTATCGAGCTAATTTTTCGAAAAATCGCTAAAAAAAGCTACAAAAAATAAGGATATAAGAGTATAAATTTGTTTTCTTTACTTTTTGGCGGTTTGTGCGCTAGTGGCACTTCTTTCTTGCACGGCTCCATGTTACATTGTTGTTCTGCGCTTGGTTTACTAATTTTTGAGCAACTAGTGCTGCTGATACCTTCGACGGTGCATCGTACAAGTCGATTTTGAATTCCAACTCCGCAGATTGCAGAACACTAAAATAGAACACATAAAAATTATATCAGACATATAGATATTCAAAATGCAAATTCCCGATAAAAATTTTAATTCATTGTATTTGCGACACTTTACCGTCGACCAATCTGAGGTGAACCATTCCGGAAGACATGCAGACATTCTACAGACTTGCTCAGTTATTGGTTTGGGATCGCTGCAATTTTGTGCAGCTACTACAATAAATTCATCATTCATTCTAGTTATACAAGCGACATCTCGATACTGCACGCCAACCCCACACGAAACAGAACACTAAAAAAGAAATTAAAAGATTTAAAAAAAAAGTTATACATGTATAAGAAATTATATATCATCATTGATTATAAAAAAAATTGCATCATACAATAATTAGAAAAAAAAAACAAATAGAAAGGACACTTTATTAAATGTCTATTTTGTTCTCGAATTGACCACAAGAATTGCAATTAAAATAAACAATTTTGGTAATTAAAAGTTGTAATTTTTGTACACTCCAATTTTATTTTCAATTTCTAATTACAAAAAACTGTAATATTGATTTGAAATTTGAAAATATATAGTGTCTTGAAATTAAAATTAGATTTATGTAAAGAATTAATGTCATCTATATCAAAATTATGTCGGCAATTTTGACTTTACACATTGCCATGAGCCGTTTTATTTTCTGAGTCGTGCTTGTACTAACGGAAGTCCATGGACTAGCAAACCACTTGGCTCGGTTGCAGGTCATTCCTTGTCCGAAGCAATGCATCTCCGTGTCCGGCCTCTCTTTGGGATTGCAGAATAACTCGCTACCATCGGCGCATGCCACTCGTCTGACCCTCACACCGTTTCCACATTCTGCGGAGCACTATAACAGTGACAAATGCTGTTTATCTTGAAGTCGAGAAAGTTAAATTCTATGATATATTTGAGATCCTATCTTTCTTATATAAATTATCACAAAGAAATAATTTTACATATTTAATTATTGAATAAATGCACGGACACTAAATGAACATATAGGATTCATAATTTTTAAATATTTTTTCACGTTTGCCTATTTTCAATGGAACTATCCTGTGATTATACCTTTGAAGACCATTCTGAATATAGCCAGGGCGCATAATGTCCCGTGTCTGTCGCCTCATTACAAACCGCTATCTCGCACGCTTTTTGGGATTCTGGTTTATTGGCTAACAAACAAGACTGTCCGGACGTTATACAAGTCACCGTTCGATTTCGAATTCCACGACCGCACGTCGCTGAACACTGGAATGCACAATAAAAACGTAATAGGCGGAATATATTTGTCAATCACAATTAATTTTAACAGCAGAGCAAAAAAAGTCCCATTCACTTACATATACTGATTGAAGAGTTATAAGAAACATGAAATATCCCTCACTAAAAAAAAACATGTCTCACATAGTTACATGATGAAATCGTGTAATTAAAACATGTAAATCACGTAACGGATTGTTCCAAATCAGTACGTGATTTTTTTAATTACGTAATTTGAAAAGTCACATGATAATATTATTCTTTTTTCTTTTATTCTTATCATTTAATTTTTTTAAAATTCAATAATTATAAAATCACATAATAGATGAAATTATTTCTAAAACCTTTATTTCTAAAAACATGTGATTTTTCAAAATTACGTGATTTTTAAAAATCACGTACTGATTTGGAACAATTCGTTACGTGATTTATATGATTTCATCGTGTAACGTTGTGTCATGATTTTTTTCAGTACGTTCTGCTTAGAATAGTTAATCGAAAGTTCGAAATATTTTTCGTGCGTGACAAATTCAGTTTTCTGTCGATTATACTTAAATATAATTCTTGTTCGTTTACATTCTTTTTATCAATCTTCTATTAATTTATTATTTCTATTAATTATTCTGTTTATTGAAACACGAACAGTTCTAATACAAACTGTTTCTGGTAATAAAAAATAATACTAGCGAGATGTATATATACGTTAGACTGTTTTCTATGCCAGCTGATTTCTCACTTCGGATTTCCAACGATTTCCTGTCCTACTTCCTAAACCACTGAAAGTAACTGTTTAACAATGAAGGCAATAGAATAATGACTCACCGGACCCCAAGCGCCCACGTCCCACCTAGGCACGTCGTGCTGCGATGGCATGTGCCTCAATTCTGGGCTCACGTTAGGACACGTTGGCCGACTGCAAGTTTCTGTAATGCTGAGATCTGGCGGTTGCATACACGCACCAGCAGCAACGCGCATTGTTAATCTCGCGTTCAACTCCTGGATGCACTCGAGTTTTCGCGTCCTGATGCCGATCCCGCAGGTGACCGAGCACTCGCTCCACGGCTCGGCTCGCCATCTGACAACATTTCCGGCTCTTCGAATACGAGATCAAGCTTATCTGCATAAATCGCAGATTTTCTGAGCACAGGGCAGAGTTTATCACGTTTTTATTCAGCTATTTCTTGAAAATCGATTTTTGTCTCAACAAAAATATCAGTAAACTCTAAATCTTTTAACAATTTAATTTAATACGGAAAGAATTTGCTGAATATCTAAAAATTTAGATAAATGCAGATTTGAAAATAATTTTGTTGAACTATGAAAATAATTATGTAAAAAAGTCAAGTAATGTTATAGAAAGCTTTAAGCTTTATTCTAACTTAAGCGTCCTACATAATTATTTTGATAATCCAAATAAATTATTTTCATCTATATCTAGCTAAATTTTTAGATCTTCAGTAAACTTTTTTTTTCATGTATGTGAGAAACGAGTTTGAACATATCGAAGAATCTAGTTGATAAGAAATGCAATGATCGTATGACAATTACCAAAAGATTGGAAGGTCATAGTAGAAATTTATTGAAGTAAGTACCTAGCGGCGCAAGGATGATCGTTGCATCGCAGCGGAGGAGGATGCTTCGGTTTCTCCACGTTGCGACAACGTTTGTCGTTGACGAGTGTCTGATTATTTTCGCGGATGCACTTCAGGATCGTCGTTCGTACGCCTACAAGTTGCAGCGAGTTATAAGAAGCGATTTAACATGTCTTGAATCTTGTGGTTTGTTACATCTTCAATTAATTCAAAGTCTGATTTTCCTCAGCGAGAAATTGGCTTGACGTTAAGTCTCTTAAAAATTTTTTTAATATTGGTTGAAACATATCGTTGTATAACATTGAAATTTCATTAAAATATCTACTCGAAATGGAACAAAAAAGAAAATTATGTCTGCGGCTTAAGTGCAAAACAATAACTCATTTTCTGTCTTTTATAACTTAGACAGCATTAACGTATTAATAATTTTATTGAGGAAAATTTCATTTCAAGTTAGTTTAAGAGACTAGGAATAAAACGAAGTGCGACACTTTGCGAGAGGGACATTTTATATTAAGTATGATCGACATGACCGTCGCGTTCCTTTTCGTATTTGTCACTTTCCGCCCGTATCGCGTCAATTTAAATTAGAATATCCCAGTGACAGATATCGGATGCTGTCGCATGCAATGTTCAAATGTCAGAAAATCAGTGACAATTTCCGGTTGGTATTTCAAAAGTATCGCACCGTATATCTTTGCAGATGTCCGCAATTATGTCTCAATTATAGTCTCACTTAACTTCAATTATTTATTATGTTTACTTCATTCAATTTAAAACAATAAAAATGCGATCCAAGATTTTTTTCTATTTTTTTAATTATTCTCTTTCTCTCTCTTTCTCTCTCTCTCATTCTCTCTCTCTCTCTCTCTCTCTCTCTCTCTCTCTCTCTCTCTCTCAGACAAGATTTTTTTTAATGTTCTAAATAAATGAAAAGATTAAAAATATTTTATGTAAAATTTTTAATCGTCGTGCTAGAATGTGTTTAATTATATCGAAATAAAACATATCTCAAGCTACTTCCCACGCAATATTTCAGAGACGTCTAGACAAAGTCGTTTTCCTAATAATCTTTAATTATCCAGACACTTTTTGTGTAATTGTCCGTTTAATCAGTATCTCTCGCGACAGACTTACAATAATTCGAAATTGTATGGCCTTTTTATATCGACATTATCATTCATTTTATGTTTAATTATTACGTACTTCCAAATTATATTTCATAATATCCATTTTATTTTATTAGCTAATGAGTTTATCCCTCAAGAAATAATTAAGCGTATTATAAATAAATACGTTTCTATAGCATGAGACATATGTTTATTTATCGAAATGTGGTGGTTGTTAATTTTATCAATAAGCTTTAAACTATAGTAATCGATTAGACTATTTCGTTATATAATCATATATTTAATCGTATACAATTTAGAGAGTAATCTCGCGTATATTAGTAATATTTATTCATTAATATTCTTTATTTTGCGAACATCGCGATATCATATTTCCTAAAATATACGAGAGATACACGAAAATGTATTACTAGTAATATTGAAAATTAATGCAAACTCATCGATCTCAACATTATTACAGAAATTATAACACTGTGTACATTCCAAAAGTTAAACAACATGTATTGAAACATTTATCATTCGCAATCCAAAGCAATTAACTCACATTTCGATATTGGATATTAAAATCTCAAGAGAAATATTTCACTGAAAGTACATTATTTTCCAAATACAATGTGCTAAGTCAATATTTAAATTATTTTATTACATGAACATATAAACATACGACATTGTAAAATTTTAAAATCCCATTTTTTAGATTTATAATTGTAGTATTGTTGTAAAATAAAAAATTTTATCTCGCTATACTGCAGAGAAATAAATTTTATTTAAAATCATAACTTTCAAAAATTGTCTTCGTAATATAATATATAAACTATAAAAGAAACATATTGTACTGAAAAATCAAATTATACTGAAAAAATTATATAATATTTTTAATAATTTTGCCAAGAAATAATCACTAGTAAAATACTTTTCAATTTTACATGGTAAGAACGATTTTGCTAAAGTATCTAAAAATTTAATTAAATACGGATAATTTGTTAGATCATCAAAATAATTGTGTAGGACGCTCAAGCTAATTGCTAAAATATTTTTGCAGCATTGCTCATTATGCTTGAATCTACGTAATTATTTTGATGATCCAACAATATTATTTTCAGACCTATATCTAGCTAAATTTTTAGATACTTCAGCATACTTCCTTTCTGTGCAGTTACGTGCAACACCTCAGTACGAGTATCATATGACATTATGACACGTGATTAATTATCAAGGCACCATCGTCTTACCTCCTCCGCATTCCTTTGAGCAGGGAGAGAGGCCGACTATTTTCCAGGTGAACTTCCTCCTCTTCCTCCTTCTCATCGCCTTTGACTTTGGCTGATCGCCCGCCATCACCGTAGTCGGTGGATGCTTCATCTCTTCCTTCCGTCCGCCATCGCGCGCACGCGGCGGATCGCGATCGCGACGCGTCGAAGATAAATCGCTTCGCCGATCCGATCTGGAAGACAGAGAGCAACGAGTTGTACGAACGAAGACAAATCGCGATTCGACTCCGAGAGATTCTCATACGCGAACGCGTAGATTCCTACCATATAAAGGAGAAAGTCCATTGGGGGAATATCCGAATTATTGATGAGTGAGTGCCGCATAAGAAACTCACTCCATGATATATTTCAGAAGTATCATACCGATCGAACAGTGAAGATTAAGTAAAGTGAAGAAAGATTAAGTAAAAGTGAAAATTAAAGATTAAAGATTGGAGAAACCGCATATAAAAACGTATATGAAATGAACGTTCGAGACAATTAAACCCCTGTGGAAAAGAATTTACATGTACGCAATCTATAATTTTAACGTGTTAATGGAAGAAAAATAACTTTGAAAAAACTGCGTTCTCGATACTTTTAAAACATGATATCGTTTCAAAAATTTTAATAAGAGTGTATATATTTACGTTCTTGTAACGGGTATTCGCACAGTTACGTGAGTATCTGGACTAGGTATCTCGTTGCCCCGATCGTTTGCTCCTACGAAGAGGAATAAAACATGTTTATGGATTATAATCGATGATTTTTTTATTGTACATAATTTATTGGCAATAGAGCAATTACCTGCGACAAGCAGCGGCGGTGCAATCACCGCTTTACCGTCCGGCACTTCCTTCATAGGTAGCATGTACTTGTACAGTACACCTGGATTTAATTCCACGGATAAAATCTATGATAATGCGCAAACAATGATATTAGCAAAGACTGAATTCAATTAAATGGTAGATTAGAATGCATTTAAAGATCGCGCACGATAAAAAATATATTATATAATACTAACAAATTTTGATCAACATTTTGTTTCTCAAGTAATAGGTGTTTCTTAAGAGTTTTTTTTAATTAAAAAGGATATACTTTTCAAAAAATTCTATCTTCTTTCAGTTTTTAGAAACTCCGCTGAAGATTTCTTATATCGCTTACATAATAACGCAAATTCGTGATATATGTAATACATAGCTATAAAAAATTTAAATATTTGTTTACAATATATAAAAATATGTGCTGTTACAATTTTAACTATATTATAAAAATAATAAAACTTATTGGCAATATTTAATGTCAAAAAATTACATTGACTTATTAGATTTCTATTTCTTAACACCTGAATTATTCTTACGTATTTTATTATAAAATAAAAGAAAAAGTTGTAAATTGTTTAAATTTGTAATTCTTTAAAATAAAGTCCTTGAATCTCTCAAAATCTGCGGATAATAGTATTTTTTTAATCTTACATTCTTACATTCAGCAGATAAAAATACAAAATCACCATTCAGATAATGAGAAACAGAAATCAGTATAATTAATACTCGAAAAAAATTTTACCTTCAAATTATATGTAGTTTGACAGTGCTACGTAAGACATAAAGCGAAGCAAAATTAAAGAGATAAGAAGATATTCGTGAGTAAATGTCGTTCGTAAATTGTAATTCGAACTATCAGAATAATTAAAGAAAATCTGCTTCTGATGCGATTAACGAAAAGTAACGATAATGCGGATAGTACCTCTAAATGCAGAGACTCGTTCAACGGTCCGGTCGCCAAGATACACTCCATACGGTTCCTATCGCCCCTCTGGTATGTTAATGTCGTACCAGCCGCTTTATAAGTACCACTGGGACTGTAAGACCACGGTCCGTTTAGGATGTAACTGCCGTTACTGTCTCTCAACGCTGCGAGTAGATCGATCGTTTGTTAAGCATACTACCAGCATACCATCGTTGCGTATTGCCACGTAAAAACGTTTAATTATTCGTCTCTATGTACTTTTACTAAATTACTGACGCTCTAAATTGCTTATACTAAATTAATTTTATTACTTTATCAGAAATGATAAATATAAAATGCCTGCGGTAATTCATATTCATTGACTATTCATTGGTTTTCTGATGACACGATTTTTTAAAAATAAGTTTTAATTAAACGCTGTACGTATCAAGCAATTAAAATATTCATTACTTAATACTAATTTACAGAACTGTTTTACTTTGATGAATCATCAATGCTACCTAGAAAATTACTGCTGAATCGGAGCTCAGAAATGTTAAGCGACATGGCACCCTTCGGAATCGTAGTCACCTGCTGATGACCCTTAGACAGAATCGGCTCCATGAAGATGCCTTCAAACAACCTGCACCCTCTGCCCTGACCACCGCACACGCCGCAGGCATCCATCGTTGCACCGGAGCCCACTACTCCGTCACATCCTATAAGCTGAATGGCAAATATGAGAATATTCGGCATCATTGCGTTTATTTAATGCACAGAGGAGACTCACCCGGGACTCTCCCCAATTTGATCAAGCCTTCTATTTTTGAAAACTATATTTCTTACAATATTTTTTTCTTCAGATAAGTTTATTATTATGTTTACAATTATTACGGTTAGGCTCACCACCAAGTCTTTTTTAATTTTTGTTCAATTTAAATTTCTTTCCATGTACAGTAAGAGAAATATTTTTCATCTCGTTATTAAAAATTTTTTTTCGAAAAGATGCTACTGGAATCTCGATGGAGTCGAGTAGTTTCAAACGTTATTGATTGATAAATGTATCTGACTGAATTGCATCGGACATTCGATGAATCTCAATGACATGAGAAAGAAACGGGAGAGGATCGTCGCACGCGGCAAAGAGCCCAAAGCACGGATCAATAGCGATCTCATCGATCGATCGTATCGTATCGCGTCGGCCTGGTGTCGATCATTAATTTCCGGCATCGTTCTCTCGCCTAACGCTCACGCTATTCATACCTTGCATTGTCCAGCGACGCAGAGCCATCGTTCACCACTGCGTTCCGTCGAAATCCCGCCGGCGCCGCCGCGTCCACGAAGATTCGGAGCATCGCAGGGCGTGCCGTCTATTACTGCCGGTTCAAGCGTTGCGTAAAAACGCTCGCCGACTGCACGGCAATTGAGCGCGCAGGAGTTCGGCGCTGGGGAACAACAGTAGTCACGATTAGGCCAGGCGGAAGTTAGTCACCAGGCCTGATCATTAGCTACGTCATCGTTATATCGGTCGAACACCGATCGGGCGACGTCACTCGTTCGTTTGGGCATCGCAAGACCCTTCTTTGTTACTTCGTAAAAGTCATATGTTTCGCTAGTGGCGAAAAAGAGAATTCCGCCAGAGAAATTTAATGCATACCATAAAATTGAATAGTGTTAAATATTATAATTGATAATTGATTAATAATTACGTCGACCCTGGCTAATAATTTGAGTTTAATTTTCAATAATGATAAGAGGATCGATTAACCCTTAAGGATGAAAGTTTTCTAACAAAAAGAAACTTAAAGAACCTTAACTAAAAAGGACTTTGTTTCTAAGAGTTTACGGAGTATCGAATTCGATTCTGATATTAGAATTCCAAAATTTAAAAAAAATTCAGAAAAAAAAACATATTATTGTGAAACTCGATGTTAGAAGGTTCTTGGTAGCGTTGAGTTTAAATATAGTTAGTTTATAGAGTTTAAATATAGTTTAAATATAGTTTGAAAATGTCAAATTTCAGGTAGCAGGAAATGAAAGTATCCATACACACATCCGTGCACCTCTACATATCCATCGACTCACCATCTACGAAGGGCATCCAGACATAACTGCGGCCCTTGTAGTTCCTTCCGTTGTACTTGGAGCACTGTTCCGCCCGCAAGTCTTCCGAGAAGTTCGGGCATTCCTGCACAAACACGTAATGGATTAATTAAACTTACGGTAATTAAGGAGCGATCGAGAAAAGAGAACGGAGTTACCATCGAGAAATAGACGCGGTTCTTCCAGGGAGGAAAAACTGACAGGATCGATCGCGTTGCTTTTTACAGTACGTCGCGCTTTTCCCAAAGCGCTGCGAATAAATAAAGGTAAAATTATTTGCGGCCTCTGGCAGAAAAAAAAGCTCGCATTCCGAGCTGCCGCGTGCGCCGAGAGGAAGTCCGTCTATTCGTGCAAACACGCGAATGCCGGCACGTGTGGTGCTGGTGCGCTACGTGCGCGGCCGCGTTGCAATTTCCGGGTAGACTATTAATTGCCGGCGAACGAAACGGTGGTTACTTTGCCCGGGCATGTTTGCGAATCGCGAATGCGGCTCTGAACTGTAGTTCCCTGGTATCGAGCTCGAAGATAAATATGCTCGCACAAGGCGCTGTTTTTCTCCCCGGGTAATAACGGATAACGAAGCCGCATCTTTTAGGTGACATCAAGCCAATTTCGCTCTACATCGTGATTTTATTTTCAAAGCAATTTTAAGAATTAAAACTTACACATTAAAATTCTTATTCTATGCTAAAAAAAATTTTTTTTACTCTGAAAAATTCTTACTTTACTTAATTGTACTGCCCGTGACGAAAAAAAATAATGTTTCCTCTCTTCAAACTGCGGAACATGCAAAGTATGAATATTTGTGGGTCAAGAACACCCAGTAAGTCAACGGGCACTGATCGTGGCCGAGATGTAAACAGATCTTATCGCATGGTCTTTACTACCATTAAGAACTAATCAACACCAACGAGCCCTTTCTCCCTTCCACTTCCTTCTCATACCGGTCAAAGCCATCCATTATACGGCGATCTTTAGTCTCAGGTGGTGATTATTCTTATGAATTTTAAACAACGCCACGTGCACACACACACACACACACACACGCGCGCGCGCGCGCGCGCACGCACGCACGCACGCACGCACGCACGCACTACGTTGCAGAACCGGAGATATAAATCGTTGTCGTCCTTAATTGGCCCGCGCGATGATTTGTTCGAGACTCGTGACGCATCGTTGAGAGGAAAATCTTGAGGAGCGTGCCTTGCAACGTGCACGTCTAGGTGAATATAGACACATTCGCTAATCTATGCGACATCGTGGAAGTAGTGACACACGCGTGAGCGTATATGCGAATTTTATGCGATCAACGAGCTGACGCGTGACTAATTGTCGGTTCAAGGCCCCGATGATAAACCGTCCTGAAAATAAAGCGGCCTTCTATGTAAGAGTCTTCTCCGTTTTCTTGAAATTCTAGGGATCTTTTCACAGAGAATTTTCGACGTTGCAGATCAGCGTTGCAGATTCTCTCTTCATGAAATTTATGTCAGATAGACTAGCGAAACGAGCGATTGACGAAAATGAGCTTAGTAAACGAGATTCTATTCATGAGCAAATTTTACATTGTAGATGCAATTCGGAAAAATATCGTTCGAATCTTCGTCCGAAATGATTTTTTGGATGCATCCAATAGAATTAAGATATCATTTTTCGATAAATTTAAGATTCTCCAGAAGCTCTTCGATAATATATAATAATTGCTGCAATCTTCAAAATAATTTTTTAAATATATGATGAAATTAATATTAAGTTAAGCACTTTGTGCCATTTTTCCAGAAATTTAAATAAAATTCTGCAGAAATTCCTCTTTAATTGCTCAAATATATATCTTAATAAAAAAACAATATAAAGTAAAAGACTCAATTGAAATAAAAATCAAAATAAATAATAATAATAATTCGAGCTAAGTTGGATCAATACAAAACATTTATTTAATAAACATTTTAAACAATCGTTCAATCAAATTTTTTAAGATTCTTTAGAAATGCCTGTATAATTATTTGAATGTATCTGCGGAATAATTTTTTAGACGAACACGACAGAGTTAAGTAGAGTTAAACGCTCTATGCATTATTATTTTTCATCAAATTCAAGAACTTGATTTTCCAAGAGAGTTCCTCTATAATTCTTGTCGATAAACGTGCTGAAGGTCTTGTGCGCCGGCTTACCTGCGTATTGCACGTGTGGTAGCGCTTGTATGTGCCGATACAAATGGGTCTGGAGCTGTTCGTACCGTTCTCCGAGATAATACTTCGCCTCCTCAAAAGTCTCCTGGAACGAATCGCTTGCATTAGCTCACCCATTGACTCGTGCGAATAGCGCACGATGCATCTCGATTTTTAGCGCCGAATGCATAAGCGCATTTTTAAAAAATGCATAACACTATGCAACCTCAAGATCAAAAGAGAGAAATGGAGAGAATATACGCGATAAGAATGAAAGAAACATTTATGAGTGTTATTTAATCATTGTTGCTGAAAGAGGTAATTACATTTGTTATTAGATGGAGGACAATCATTCCATATATTACATTTTTTATTTCACGTAAAATTAAATAAGATCATGATTTAAGAATTTAAGTTTACATTTTCTTTTTGATGCACTCTATTTAATACTTTTTGGTATTAAATATCTATTTTATCTAAAAATTTTATGTAGTTTATTTAACATAGTTTATATGATTGAATATTAACATTTCAATTCAATGTGATTAAGACGGAGCAAAATATGATTCGACTAAATCTCTTAATTGTTTATGTTAAGTTAGTCATTAATCAGAACTCTTGTGTAATCGTCAAGGATAAATCAAATTCAAGTCATCAGGCGATCTTTAACCGCAAGATACTGACTACTTTGTATTTACTCGTATAGTGAACTCGTCGCGATATATTCATATTGCGAGTCACGTAACGGCTCGCAGTAGCGTTAGGAAGGTGTAAATGTCAGTGGCGATAACAACACGTTTCTGCCCCCGGGAGAAGCTCGCAGAAGTCGTCGGCCTGCCGGTGTATAATCTTCTTACGCTACTGATCCGTAATTTGCACGCTGCTTTATAGCTAGCCAGGCAGGACATACAGGGTGTACGGAACTTATGCGTTAAAGTCTCTTTCTTGAAGAAGGAATTTTTGAATTATTCATGTTTCACTGGAATTTTATATATTCTTTTATTATTCAAATAAAAAATATATTATAATCCTGAATAAGAATCTCCATTGACGACAAAAAAATTCGCTCGTAGATAAATTTTCAAGAAGGAAACGCACAGTGAAAGCATATTTAAATAATAAACGCCTAGCGGCTATTCTCTTTTTCTCTCTCTTTTTTTCCTATCGAATAAACATTTGTACAGATATCACAATGTGTGCAATTTCAAGTTTTAAAAAATGCAATAAAAAGTTTAATCAAAGCTCTTTCGTGCACTTTATTTTTGTAATATAAATGACAGCAACGTTTATGAAAGCAGTGCATAAATTTTGTACAAAGGAAAAAATGTATTCCATTTATTCAAAGAAAAAAAATTACGTTTCATAATATCGCATGTAATCTTTTCTACATGTATATGCATTCATGAATATCAAAAACAGAATTTGTGAAATTTTACTTTGGTTCTAAATGTCCAAATATTTTAAAAAAGTTTTATATTGAAGACTTTCAATATGAATAAGTAAACAATATCAAAGTATTGCGCATTATCGCATTAGAAACTGCGGAATAATCTATCTAAAAACTATACTTACCCATCTAGCTACTGCATGTTACACGCTGATGAAGAAAAAGAGTTAAACGAATTATTTCTATAATAAGATAGCGATGAATCTGAGGCACCTTGTATATTCCTTATGGATATGAAAGAGTCGAAGATAAACGGTGGTCGATCAATCGAGAGATTGAGGAGTAATAGTATATTCGATACGAAGTCCAAAGTTCCACGGTTATGCAAAATGCAACGCGATTCATCTAGCGAACGTTTATGATCCAAATTGCGCGAGACCCTAACGGTACCGCAAGGCATGTGATTATTGTTAGGATAAACTGCGCAAGGTGCTTTGCATTCTCGCGATGGAACCGCGACGCCCGACGATTACCGATCCCAGTCGTGACCTCTCGGAAGATCGTGCCCTCCGCACCGTGAGGACAAAGGTGATGCGAGGTGTGGAAATCATTAATCGAGCGTGAAGATATTTGGATGTGGTCATACAGTGTTTGATTTTCATGCTTAATGAGCTCTTGTCGCGCTTTGTTTTGCGCTTTTATCTTTGTAAAGATACAAGTGAAAGGAAGAAAATTCTCGATATATCCTATAACGTATGTTTATCTTATTATTTATAACGCCTTATTTATTAATGTTATATAAAATATTTAAAGAACATATATATAATACTATTTTAAAATATTTTACATGTTTATTAAGAATTTTAAGCACGACCATATATGTGAATACATCAAATACGATACAGAAAGCTAAGATCGATCAAATTTTAGATGTTATAATCTGGATACATTATATATTCTTTTATTGAATCAATTTATTCCAGATATAATTGCGAGTCGATAACGTTCGTTATCTGAAGTAATATTTTTCGCAATAAATTTCTTACTTTCTTCCTTTCTTTCTTTCTAATTTAATTTAAGAGGAATTATTAGCGTTTTAGAATAATTGTGTTGAAACCAATCGACTCGCAATTATATCTGGAATAAATTGATTCAATAAGAGAACATATAATATATTATTTATAACATCCAAAAATTTGATCTTGGCTTTCTTTATCATATTTGATTTTACATGTTTATTTTAAAATATTTATTTTAAAATATTTTAATATTTTAAAATAGTATTATATATAGCACTAAATACAACATTATATAGCTACCAATAATTTCCGGCCAATATATAATTTTAATTTTTGTATTTTTGTCAATTTGTTTTTTAATTTATATTATTATAAATTAATAAAATTCTTACTATATATAATATTTTAAATACTGGAGTATATTAAGTGTATAATTAATATTTATATACTAGATATTTATTTGTAACATTTTTGTATCCGAGCAATACAACAAAATTATTAGCCGGAAACTTTTGGTAGCCTAAGTATATGTTTTTTTTATAAAAATTAAAAAAATTATTTCAGGATTTTTATTAATCTGTCATATTAAATGGACTCACCGTAGAGGGACACATTCTCGAAATTGGGACTGGATACCAGTGCCACAAGATCTAGAACATTCGCTCCATGAACTCCACGTTCCCCAAGTTCCTCTTATCCTGTTATCATGGCTGATTCCAAATTGTGTTCTTTCTTGTAACATATGATATACCTAGAAAAATCAACACTGTTCCGTCAATCGTGAATTCTTCAGCTAACTCCGAAACTTACAGTCAAAATGTAAAATTAATATTTTAAAAAGAAGATTAATTAAGATATAAGATATAAGAAATAATTTTCAAGTAAATTATTTATTTATTTTTATAAATTATTTATTAAATTATTTATTTTTAATTATTTAATTATATGTAAAATATTTTATTTTAATAATTTATGCAAAAATAATTATACTTCATTTATCAATTATCTTTCACATACACTCTTACATTACTTTTTATATACAGACCTTATTAATAATCGGACGCAATTTTATCTAATAATAAATATTTCTTTTCTAAATTCATTTAAATGAGAAAGAGAGATTTTAATCACGACTGAGATAATATTTTTCACAATAAATTCTTTACATGTTTTAATATGCTAAATAATAACAATTTAATTTGTTATATAAATTTAATTTAATAAATTTAATTGTATAAATTTAATTTGGAAGGATTATTATCATTTATTTCAGATCGTGCAAATCTGTCTTTGTTGTAAATCTGAAAAGTAATCGTCGCACAGTCATATACACGTATCTAAGATAAATTTATTTAACAAATTTAATTAAATAAAAAAAAGGGATAACGAGCTTAGCATGATGATAATATAAATAAAACAAATTATATTTTCAATTAAAAAAAATTATTTAAATACATATATTATTCTAATCTGACCGTATAAATAATACTTTTCTTATTTAATTTATTTATTCATTTAACGGTCTTGATTCTAACTTAATATTATTTATTTAAAGCTTGTTTCCAAGTTTTTTGCTTATCGCCTCTTTCGTATCACTCCTCATGATAGATAATTGCGCGAGTGTGAAAAGCGATGATAGCTATTACAGTGAAAAAAAATATCGAAGCAGGTAACTGGATAATTAAACGATGAGGCAGATACGCACGTCTGGCATTTTGTTCCTGTTAATCACACGCCAGTATCATAGAGCACAAACTGTTTGTTCAGTAATTAATATCGCTACTGCGAACGAGATCCCAATTAGATCGCATGCGTTTCGGTATCACGTACTCTTGTCGTGATTAATTAAACGAAAGATCGATGACCGTATTGCATACACACGGCGCTGAATTAACGGCATTCGATCTATCTCCGCGCACCATGGGCTACTCGTTGCATTAACTTCTGCCGGAAGTTTGCTAAGGTAACGTCGCTTCACCACCAGGAAGAAAGGCATGACGTTCTCACGTAAAGATTTCCCGCGCTTCATACTTCACGTCCGATCCTCCCTTCGATCGCGCACGTCTAATTAATCAAACGCGAAGAGTCGCATCTCTTGTTCCCTCGCACGCTATGGGCGTAATATTTCGAGACCGGAATACAAATCGTCGATTTCGCCGAACCTGTTGCGAGATGAATAACAACCGTTAAATCTCGAAAGGTCTCTTAAATGTGACTTTTGTTTCGCCCACATTTGTCGGTTTGTTCTGTGCGTCGCGTCGCGTGCGAGGATCGCTTCTATTTTTAACGAGCCGAGGATTTAGATTTCACAAAAGAAAAATAACGCAAATAGGCAATTACGCTTTTCGTAAACACCGTTTCAATGTTGAATTTAGTGTCAAACGGTGAATTTAGAATTCGAATGAAGAGCTCTTAGCTGCTTTTTTTTTTGCAAGTTGTTAACCCCAAGAGCAGCAAACTAATACTTCCTTAATATCTGGCATTAACTCTGGAACGTTAATCACAGCGTTTATATAGCAGAGGCTCCATACAAAGAAGGAAATATATGCTTCACGTTAGATACACATAAGGAGATATTTTTACAGTACGGAATAATGAGACCTCATCGAGAATAAATTCATGTAACGATAATACTTCACAAAGAGAGAGAGAGAGAGAGAGAGAGAGAGAGAGAGAGAGAGAGAGAAAGAGAGAGAGAGAGAGAAAATGATCAACGTAATACTTTGAAACATTCTTTGATTGATCAATTCGTAAAATTCTTTCCTCTGATTGATCAATCAAGTGCTTCAAAGCATTTACAGTGAGACTTTGACCGTATTTAAAAAGAAAGGATGCTTCATGTAATTTTTTTTAAATAATATTGAGGGGAAGACACGAACTTGATTAGAAGCTAATCAAATTGAGTTTATCTATTACTTTATCTGGATTTTGATTTTCATATCAAATCAATAAGAATATAATTATAAGAAGATAACATATAGTTAATATATAAGAAAATATAAAGCTAATATAAGATATATTGGATAATATAAAATATATAATATATCGCACAAAAAGTCAAAACTATTTGAATTTCATATTATGTGCAAATTGTGTTTTAAATCTATCAGCCTTCAGAAAAAAATGAAAGTTAATCGAATTCAAACAGAAAATAGAATAGAAAGAATTGAAAACGAGAAAAATGGAATACAAATTAAAATAGGAGTAAATTTTAATATAACTTTAATATAATTTAGTCTAATATAACACTATTAAACATGATTATTATCGATATTACTTTTACAAATAAAATTTGAAAATAATTTGTAAAACTGTAATTAACTTATATTTAATATTGCCGTAAATAATTAATTTTTAAATACGCAATTTTCTTTTCCCTCTCTCCTGAACAATTTTATATTTTTTACTTGTATCATTTTTTTTCGGTGATATGCAAAAAAGTATAAATATAACAGAAGTATAAATATACGGATCATAATCTATACCTGAAAAAAGGAAGAAACACGGAAACAATGATATTGCTAAAGTATCTAAAACTTTAGATAGATACAGATCTGAAAATAATTTTGTTAAGCTATCAAAATAATGATACAGAATATTCAAACTGATTGCTAGAATGTCAAAATTTTTTGCAACATTATCATAAACTTCCTACGTAATTATTTTAATAGTACAACAAAATTACTTTTAGATCTGTATCTAGTTAAATTTTTAAATACTTTAGCAAAACTGTTCTTTCCATTAGAAAAGCTGATGAGAAATTATAACTCTAGAATTAAGCTCGGCTGAAAATTCGTCAAGAATTACGTAATGCTTTGAAAATTATAGTATCGGTCTTTCAAGAAAGCAATTCCGGAAGTGTGTATCGCTTCGGAGAAGCGACCTTGATGTCAACATAGACCTAAAATGAAGGTCAGGTAACCGGAATGCGCTATATTTCCTGCGTCGTCTATTTTCGTGTCATCCGTAATACACACGTTTTCCAGAACAAATGGGTTCTTAAGTGTAATTATAAAATGATAGCGGTTGTTGCACAGCATGCAGAACGTGTTTACGTTCGTTCTCGTGTCGCGCGCCACGTGGCCTTGTTCCCGGCGCGTTCTCTGCGCCAGCGTAATTTAGGGACCTCCTTCGGTGTCAATTAATTACTCCCTCACTTCGCATAGTGCCACGTAATTGCGTATTAATTCCCGCAAGTGGATCGAATTAATATGCATCTCGTGTACGAGGATTGTTGTCGGAGAAGCGAACGGAATTGTCGCAATAGCCAATCGCGAGATCGAATTTAGCTTGTCGCGGACGTGATTATCTATTGATGCTTAATCGACAACATTGATTCCGAGTAAAAGCTTACTAACTAGCATAACTAGCTTGTCGTCGAACTATACTGCAAAATTAGTTCCCCATCACTTGTCATTATTAATGAAATGAGATTGTTTTTCGAAGTTTACATTGTTAGATATCAAAAAGCAATGGTAATCCAATTCCTTGAGTTAAATAACATTTTACTTTTATCTTCACATTGAAAAAAAAATTACGAAATTTTAATAAATATTTGTTTAGATAGTACCAATGGGACCATTTGCTTACGGATATATATTTATTTGATTTTAAAAAATGATACTTAAATTTAAGTATAATTTTTTTTAATAAATAACAAAAAGAGGCTACAAGCCAGATTTTTATGTATTTCAAATTCTTAGAACATACGACCGTATTATTATCATCCTTCAGTGTATATAAATGTAAAGAACGCAAATTTAACAAAATTAATAAAATGATTAGATACAATTTCTACAGATTATAATTATGCATAAAGTGTTGGTAGTATTCCTTCATATCTATCTTCTGTTCGCAATAATGTAATGCTTTCAGTCTTGTAATATTCTCAGTAACATTCTTCCATCGGTCCAATTAATCCATAACGATGATAAAATTAAATTATTTAAATCATACAATAAAAAATATATCAACACACATTCTCAAATGCGAATGTTTAAGAATATAAGCCAATAGTTGAAACAATGTTGTATTGTAAAGATAAGACTTACTTCTATGGGATATTTATCGGGTATATGGGAAGACGAGACACCGGCCGTGCTCAGCATCATCAGGGCTAGAATCGATCTGCAACAAAGATAGAGGCAAGTGAATAAATCCATCTATTGTAAATACGAAGATCGATGAGTGTAATGGCGGGTGCAATCTATAGTTTCGTGACCGAAAACCGTTCGCGCCGAGCGGGGCAATTACTCTTTTATCGTCAGCAAAATCGCCCGTTCGCCTGCTTTCATTGAGTGAGAAATTTCAAGAATGCGATCTTAATCTTCATTGAACAACTAACGCGCATTTTCGCAGATGTGCAATGATAATAATGAATTGAAGTCGATAATATCAGCGATAAACCTTATTTAATCATTTGCGCTTTGATATATTTCTCTTCTCACTAAAAGCGCGTTAATCAATAAATTATACTTATATATATATAAATATAATAAAAATAAATGTATTTACAATTAAAGTTTGTATCTCTTTTCCTCTTCCTCTAATTATTGCGTTAACCTTTACACATATCATTTTTTTCTTTACTCAAAAGTAACACAACTAAAAAAAAAATTTCTCGAGTTAATTACCATGAATGAATTTAGTAAACATTATCCTATTAATCATCAGAAGCAAATTAACTTAATTTCATTTAAAAAATCGTCATAAAAAGAGTAGATTTTTTAAAGTTGTGAAACAAAAATAACAAAAATGACATTGTTTTTAAAAGTATAATTCTTTTTGCCGATATTATTTAATTAGTCAATAATTTTCTGTCAAGAAAATATTGTAGTTTCTCCCCTTTCCTGGAAAATTAATTTTTTTTAGTTGTGCCACTTTTATTATAAAGAAAGAAATATTGGGTTGTCCGGAAAGTTCGTACCGGCTAACCTATATAATTTAATAAATGTATACTAAAATTTTCTGCGTTTCAATTTTCCTTCAACCTCTTTCCAGACAACTCAATATATCTAAAAATTAACGATCAAAAAATATTTCACGCAAATATAGCATCATATTTATCTTAAAAAAAAACATGATTTTGTAATGTATACATAGAGTAAAACATAGAATAAAACTTATCCAAAACGGCAAAAAAACGTAATTCTCGTTGATAGGTCAGACGTTGCTTCCATTGGCATTAATCATTAATAATGCAGCTTACCTACGTAAATGTAGATCCTGCCAATCGATATAACCAATTCGCGTTGACTTATCTTGGCTCGATCGAACTACACCATACGCACGTCTCAATTTTTCCCACCGCATACATATCTCTAGTTCTTTCTCCTCCCTTCCCCCCGTACATCCTGAGATCGAACTCGACATGCAATATCAGCATCCGTTGCCACGCATAACTATTACACACCAGTCCCCGGAAACGACATTTTTTCGGTTGACGAATTAACTTGAGAGCGCGTTCGTGGATTTACAAATACCGCATATAAGAAAAGAAAAACAAAGAAACATGATGAAAATACAGTACATATATTACCTGATATATCTAACTAAAATATTTAATGATAGATAAAACATGAGATACATTAAAAGTAGATTTTATGTATGAATATTTAGCTTTATGTGAATAAAGCTTCGGCCGAACTTCTTTCTTCCAGCCTTTCTAAAGGAAAAGGAGAAGTGTAAGCAAGCGAGATTTGCAACGAAGAAAATATGCATAGACGATGAAATTGCGACCAACTTGTCGCTTCTCTACGTTAATTATTCATAAGCGCTAAATGGCGTTTGCGAGCTGGGAAACGTATACGGACAAAATAGAAAACGCATATGGCGATGATAGACCGTGATGCGTAATTCTGATGCCAGCGTAAATATCAGTCGTCGTATTATCTTTCCATGAAAATTACTCAAAAGCGATACTGGAAAGAGGAAGCAAATTCCGATGCGAAATCCAGATGGTGAGATGCTTTGATGCGTCAAAGCGCCGTTCTGTAAGTTGAATACAGTCACAAAATTGCAAGATAATTGTTCTAAGATAAGGAAAAATCTGATACTACAATATTTACTTAAATATTTTACATCCAAATTATGAATTAATTATTGCAAAGATTGCAATTATACTCTTAATGTCAAAATAAACAAGGAAATATTATTGTCTGTATCTTATAATTCATTACTTTTTTTTCATCGCTTCTTAAGCACATGACTCTGTTCCAACGTCATAGTAGCTTTCTCTTCCTGTAAAAATTAACAATTAATAATAATATTAATTAATAATTAATAATTATGTTAAACAATTAATAATTAATAATTTAATAAAAAATAGATTTCATTTTCAAGTAAATATTTGTTTACACTCTATACATATCTAAAGCCTATCAAAATCAGTGAGGGGCAATTTCAATGGTTTCTTTGTAAGATCCGCTCTGTTTGAATAAGACTCTTTTCTTTCTTATATTTATTCACTTATCTCGATCTATTTCCATTTATTACAGTTAAATAAAAAAAAAATCGACAAAAATCGAAATATTCGTATTTTTGTCGGTTTTTTTTTTTATTTAACTATAATAATTTGACATGCATCGATCGAGTTAGAAGCCGAGTCAAGGTTCTTGCGCGAATAGGAAGAGTATACAAGCTAAGAGATCACACACAAAGGGGCGAAGGGGAAAGCCTTCGACCGGCGCTGATCCAAGTAAACTGTGCCACTAAGTGTTAATAACGTTTCACTTGTTGCGTTTTCTCGGAAAGCTTAATTAATCATTAAATCGCGCCGCCGCGGATCGAGGGAGAGGAGAGAAGAGGCAGGCATTCTGACGCGGGATGGAGAAGAGCGGGGGAGAGGGGGAGATGCAACCAGCGGTAGCGCACGACGCGCGTACGCAATCATGCGTGCATACGTGAGCGTGTTGTGTACTCGCGAAATTAGAAAAATGTGCTATCTCGACTATATCCACACGCGCGACGCGCTCGTAATCGAGGGGCGGCATGTCTTTCGCGATGCACCACACGCAAGCGATGAAACATTGCGACGTAGCGCGTTCGTCCGCGACGCGACGTCCAACACGTGTAGTCATCTACCCTGAGATCCTACTCGTTGCAGACACGCTGCGAAGAGGATCGCGCGAGATTGCAGCCGGATTGAGAACGAGGAATTCTGATTTTTGTCTACGCCACGGCTGCGAGCGACTCCCATCGTTCATTACATGCCTCTTCTTATTCGTGATGCGATTCGTTGCTAAGATCGCACTAAGCTCTTTTCGATTACCTATATCTATTGAAGCGACTTGGGCCAAAAAATTGTCCTGGTTAAGTCATCTTTTTATCTCGATATCTCTAATTAAAACAACTTGCGTATATCAAATATCAATATATTGTAATTATATAAAATAATTAATTGATTAATAAAGTAATTCTAATTAATTATTAATTACTTAAGTAATTATTAATCTCTTTAGAGAACGAGAGTCTATTTTTAAAATTTTATAACTTTTCCTTAAGTAAGATTGCTATAATTCATTCTTTCATTTATTCTTTCATTGTATTCCTTACCTTAAAATATGAAACTGTTTCAGCTATAGTGAATTTTTTTCTCATCATATTAATAATTAATAATTATATAAAATAATTGAACATAAGAAAAATAAAGACAAATGATTTGCTAAAAAGAAGTTGCTTTATGGTAAAATAAAGATATGCATTGATATTCTACATCAATTAAATTTTTACATCAATATGAAAAAAAAATTGAACGAAACAGCTACTAACAGCGTATTCAATTTTAATTCTACAGAAAGTCAGTCACATATATCTTAATTCTCAAAGGAGATGCTGATAGATGATATTTACATTCATATATTCTCTTGCAGATGCAAAGTAACGATGTTATCTAGCTCTTTCCGACTCTTAATTGACATTCAGAATTCTCTGTATTAATTTATTTCCGTATCAGTCTCTTTTTTTTCTGCTTAGAAGAGAGTACACCAATAGAAATTCCGCACTTATCAGCGACAATGGCGATCGTAGATCGCGTTTCACGGCGCGATTCACAATGCAAATAAATTCTTGCCGAAGTATCGGCGATCGATCTCTCCAACAAGAGCCTACAAAGTACAACTACGGACAACTATGAACCGTATCCACGACCCGTTACGACTTCCTCTATCACGCAGTCCGTCACAGCGCGGCGTATCTCGCACTTACGACAAACAATGCTAGTCTTGTACTCAATGGCGTAGGAATGTGAAAAATCGATCGACAAGAAGCAGCAGCGCGTTTCAACCGCCTTTACAAAACTCGACCAGAATCCTCCTATTGACGGCGAGCAAGGGACGTCAATCGCGACCAGATATGCCACCATAAAGTCAAGAGGCCTCAATGACCCTCGTTAAGGGGAATAGAGTCAGTTTTTGTCGCTAGAGGGAAATTATTAACTCTATACTCTTTTAAATGCGAGTCGGCGCATCTTTCACTTCCGCGAATCTTTAGTAATTTGGATCAAAAGTCGGTCAGAGCGATAGAGCTCGAATTCCGAGCAAACGTAAAACAACAAAATAATATTGTGATATTATATCAACGTAGATAAATCATATTAAATGTAATATTGATATGTAACATGTTTTTCTCATTCATAAAATTAAAGGAATACGCGGAAATGTATAGTGTAATGTTAAATAAAATTTAATTAGTTTTTTGTGACTGCAGAGATTGCAGTAAAAAGATAAATTTTATATTTTATATTATACTAAAATTGTGCGTATTCTTCTTATTATTATAATTTATCCGATCTAATAAGGAAACATTACGCAATCGAAAAGTCACTTAATATAAAAAAAGATAAATATATTTTTAAATAAAATAAAATGTAATGTGTGTGCGTGCGTGCGTACGTGCGTGTGCGCGCGTGTGTGTGTGCGCGTGTGTGCGTGTGTGTGTGTGTATGTGTGAGTGTGTGTGTGTGTGTGTGTGTGTGTGTGACGAAGGAAATCGATTTATAAGCAACTTGTATATACAAATTATTTGAACAATATATCACTCTCTTATTTTAAAAGTGATATAATTGAAAAATTGAATTTCCAGAAAAAGGAAGAAATTGTTTTCCAACTTGATAGAAAATTATTGACTAA